GGCGCGCCCCTGAGGCCAGTGCTCTGGCTGGAGGGGCAGCGGCGGCCTCGCCCTCACTCCTGGCTGAGGCAGAGCTGAGGCAGCTGAGCCTCCAGGGCCGGCCGGTAGGGAGGTCCCTGTGCCTCCAGCTGCGCTGCCCATGGCTGGTGGATGCTGCTTCCTCGCCCGACGTGAGGTCTGAGTAGCAGGCGTCCTTGCAGCTTCTACCCGGGGTGCCTCCTGGCGAGGCATGTGATCCGCGTCCAGGGAAAGCGGTGGGACTGCTCAGACCCTTAAGCATATTTTTGTAGCATTTGCCCCAGCAAACAGTCTTTAAAAACTCATGGAGATGGGAGAGTATTCAGTGTTCTGACTGGGGAAGGTTTAATATGTCATGTTTATTAGCCTCTCTATGGCTAAAAGCTTTTCTATACCAGCCATTTTTAATTATCAACAATCCCAGAGATTTTTCTTTGAATTTTTGTGTCGATTTTAACGTATTGGCAGTGAAAACTGAGAGATTAAAATGTAGGAAATGTACGCACCCGTCCCGTCAGCTGTCAGAGCCGTGGTTCGCACTCACATAGCCTTTGGGGAACTGCCCTGTGCGCTCGGAGAGGGATGAGCCGACGGGAGCAGAGCTGAGTGCCCGGGGAGACACAGGTCATGCTGAGTCACTGGCCTCAAGGCCTTGAGCTCTGTGCTCACCAAGGTGCCCGTGACTCAGACTGGCATCTGTGGGCCGCTTTACGTACAAGGAGGAGAGCTATGGTGTGTGGTGTCCAGCAGTGGCCCAAGGGCAGGGCAGCCTGGCAGTGAGAAGGCGGGCGGGGGGCTGCCTGGCCGCGCGGGGTGGGGGTGAGGAGAACGGGGGAGCCGGTGGCTTTAGTCTGCTTTGCCAGCCGTGAAAGGTGGTGTTTTCTCACCTGCGTTGTCTCTAGTACCTGGTACCCCGTGAGTGACAGGCGCGGAGGGTGGGAGGGGCAGGGGTCACAGACGGCGGTCTCCAGCCCCTAATTGCTCTCTCTCCCTCCCAGTGTCTCCCTTCCTCCTGGGTCGGGCACTCTGGGCTGCCAGTCGGTTCACTGTTGCTATGTCCCCTGAATTGATCCAGCAGTTCCTACAGGCAACAGTTAGTGGCCTTCATGAGACGCAGCCCCCGTCCGTGCGGATCTCTGCCGTGAGAGCCATCTGGGGGTGAGTATGCGCCTGAGGTGACACCAGCTGTTTAAGAGAAAGTTGCTCGGAGCTGAGCCCCGAACCGCAGCTGCCAGTGGATTTGCTGCTGGAGGTTCTTCGTGAAGCTGTTCCGTGGACTGGATGGAGGAAGGCGTCCCAGGCGCGCATCCCACTCCCTCGCCCGCTGGGCCCTCCTCTGCCAACACCACGCCCCGAGGCTCTGAGAGAAGTGGCCCGAGGGCTGCACATGCACGACAGGAGGAGAGCCGCCGGCCGTCCTGGGGTCGCTGCCTCCACATGCGGGCGGTGTGGCCTCGCAGCCGCTGTAGACCAGGACCCTCTGGTCGTTCACGGACACCCTGCCCGGCCCAGAGGGACCCTTGTGGTTTGAGGAGTATGTTAAAGTCCAACTCGAACCCCGAAATCTCCCTGAAGTCCTAAAGCCGCTCTCTCGCCCCTGCCTGCGTCCCGCCTCTTGAGAGGGCGGCCGTGCACCGGGACAGGTGTCAGCCAGGGGCTCCTCCGACGTCTCGCTCGTGGGCGCTGGGAGACCCCGGGGAACATGCTGACCCCAGGCCATGTGGCAGACCAGCTCTAAAGACGGGGGTCAGAGCAGGCCGGCCGTGAGCATCGGGGTCTGACCGAAGGCGAGGCTCTGGGCGACTGGGGTCAAACCACGGCGTCGCTGGTCGTGGTGGACCTGGGAACACAGCAGCTGGCACGGAACGTGGTCATCAGACATGGGTGTGTGTGTCTGAGTGTGTGTCTGTGTGTCTGAGTGTGTGTGTGTGTGTGTGTGTCTCTGTGTGTGTGTCTGAGTGTGTGTCTGTGTGTCTCTGTGTGTGTGTCTGAGTGTGTGTCTGTGTGTCTCTGTGTGTGTGTCTGAGTGTGTGTCTGTGTGTCTCTGTGTGTGTGTCTGAGTGTGTGTCTGTGTGTCTCTGTGTGTGTGTCTGAGTGTGTGTCTGTGTGTCTCTGTGTGTGTGTCTGAGTGTGTGTCTGTGTGTCTCTGTGTGTGTGTCTGAGTGTGTGTCTGTGTGTCTCTGTGTGTGTGTCTGAGTGTGTGTCTGTGTGTCTCTGTGTGTGTGTCTGAGTGTGTGTCTGTGTGTCTCTGTGTGTGTGTCTGAGTGTGTGTCTGTGTGTCTCTGTGTGTGTGTCTGAGTGTGTGTCTGTGTGTCTCTGTGTGTGTGTCTGAGTGTGTGTCTGTGTGTCTCTGTGTGTGTGTCTGAGTGTGTGTCTGTGTGTCTCTGTGTGTGTGTCTGAGTGTGTGTCTGTGTGTCTCTGTGTGTGTGTCTGAGTGTGTGTCTGTGTGTCTCTGTGTGTGTGTCTGAGTGTGTGTCTGTGTGTCTCTGTGTGTGTGTCTGAGTGTGTGTCTGTGTGTCTCTGTGTGTGTGTCTGAGTGTGTGTCTGTGTGTCTCTGTGTGTGTGTCTGAGTGTGTGTCTGTGTGTCTCTGTGTGTGTGTCTGAGTGTGTGTCTGTGTGTCTCTGTGTGTGTGTCTGAGTGTGTGTCTGTGTGTCTCTGTGTGTGTGTCTGAGTGTGTGTGTGTGTGTGTGTGTGTCTGTGTGTCTGAGTGTCTGAATTCTTGCCCAACACAGTGACTTTGATGTTAGTCCATGATGGATCAACAGGCACTGTAGTTCATTCCTTTCTCTTTTTTTAAAATATATTTTTTAAATGATTTCAGAAAGGAGGGAGAAAGATGAGAGCGAATCATTGATTGGCTGCCTCCTCAGACCTCTCACTGGGGTCAAGCCTGCAACCTGGGCTTGTGTCCTTAACCGGAATCGAACCTGGGATCCTTCAGTCCACAGGCCCACACTCTATCCACTGAACAACCGAGCCAGGGCAAGACACAATTTCTTAAACATTTTCTTACCTTAGTACCGCAACTTTTTAAACTGATTTGAGAGAGAGAAACATCCATCAGTTGCCTCACACATGTGCCTCAACCGGGGGTTGAACCCGCCCCCTTTTGGTGTGCAGGGTGGCACTGGAACCGGCTGAGCCACCCCAGCCTGGGCAAGAGCACTTACGCCCGCGGCGGCCTGTCTCTGTCGCAGGTCCCTTAGCACGCAGGCACCGCGGGAACGCCACCAGGGACCGTCACTGGGAGGAAGTAATTCCTGCTTCTGTGTCTCCCCAGTTACTGTGACCAACTGAAAGCCTCAGAGAGCACGCATGTCCTCCAGCCCTTCCTGCCCAGCGTGCTGGACGGCCTCATTCACCTGGCCGCGCAGTTCAGCTCCGAGGTCCTCAACCTGGTGATGGAGACACTGTGCATCGTGTGCACGGTGGACCCCGAGTTCACGGCCAGCGTGGAGAGCAAGATCTGCCCCTTCACCATCGCCATCTTCCTCAAGTACAGCAACGGTATGCCACCAGGGAGGGCGTGCCACCAGGGAGGGCGTGCCACCAGGGAGGGCGTGCCACGGGCCTGCCAGCAGGGACTGGAGCAGACCTGCCCCTGGGGGAGGTGCTCTCCCGCATCCTAGGCAAGCACTGGCTGTTGGTTAGCAGAGTCGGTTAGCTCCTGCTCTCGGGGTCTCACCCCCCGTAGAACCGGGGTGGGGTGGGAAGAGGCCTGCACGGCCTTAGGAAGGAGATCTGAGGACAGATGAACAGGGGGTTCCTCTCACCTTTATAGCAGCAAAAATGTGGACGTAGAAAAGGATTCGTTTATGCCGTAAATATTAAACGTCGGGAATCCTTAAAGCACTGAGACAGTGTTTACAGGATAATAAGTAATAGACGGCTTTTCCAGATGCATAGGCTGTGATGCCGGTTTTGGTTCTGTGCTGGGAAAGGGCGTGTAAACGTCCGTATGGAGATGTCCGTGTGTGGGAAAGGGCGTGTGGACATCCATACGTGGATGTCCGTATGTCGGGAAAGGACGTGTGTAAACGTCCGTACGTGGACGTCCGTGCGTGGGGCAGTGGCTGCAGGCGGTGGGTGACGGGGTTCTTTCCTGTAACGCTTTGTAGCACGTTCTGCGCAACTCCTGTGTCGTGCGTACGGTCTGTACTTTATCATAGAAAAGACTGAGGGTGTTTGTGAAGAGGGGGCTCGGTGTTGAGGCTCAGGGGGTGCTCGGGAATCACTGCACGTCGGGGAGCGTGGCCTGGGAGGCGCCCACGCTGCCCCCTCGGGTGGCCCTCGCCGCACGGCTCCGCCCAAAACAGCCGCACCTGCTCCTCCGCCCGTCGGGCTCCAGGAGAATAAAGGCGTCGGGACCGGCTCGGGAACAGAGCCGAGTGGTCGCCGGGTGAGCCCGGGGACCAGGTGCCTCTGGAGGTGGCATCTCTCCTGTTCTTCCAGGTGGTCACGTGCCCCGCTAGGTCCCGGCTGTGTGGCGGGTCATCCACGCAGACGCTGCTCGCTAGGTTAGGGCCACACACCAGGTGTCACTAGCCAGCGGCGTGTGCAGACCGGCGGGCGGGGTCCTGTTGCCTTGTCACCTCAGATCCCGTCGTCGCCTTGCTGGCTCAGGACATCTTCAAGGAGCTGTCCCAGATCGAAGCCTGCCAGGGCCCCATGCAGATGCGGCTGATCCCCACGCTGGTCAGCATCATGCAGGCGCCAGCAGACAAGCTCCCCGCAGGGCTGTGCGCGGTGAGTGGGCGCACAACCACGCGGAGCAGGAGTGGGTGGGTGGGTGAGCAGAGGGTGGTGAGCAGGTGGGTGTGGGTCTGAGCAGGTGTGGGGGTGGTGTGAACAGGTGGGTGTGTGTGAGTGAGCAGGTGGGGGTGGGTGGGTGAGCAGGTGTGAGCTCACCACCTGCACACACACCCAGCTGGCAGGACACCAGCGAATGTTGAGGTTCAGGGTGGCTTTGCCGGCTGCTCTGCCCTCAGGAAGGGGTGGATCTTGAGGGTCCAGGAAAATGGCTGTTCCAGAGGCGCCTTATCTGTTGACACACTGCACGCGCTACCTGCTGCCCCGGCGGCCGGATGCCACACAGCCCCGCGGCCGTCAGGGGAGCCCCGTGAGACGGCTGGGAGCATACGCTGCCGTCGCGGGGTCCCTTCTTCTCAGCGAGCTTTCTCGGGCTGCTGCCCTTCCCGCCCAAGGCTCTGATCTCCCTCCTCCTCCAGACAGCCATCGACATCCTGACCACCGTGGTGCGCAGCACGAAGCCACCGCTCTCCCAGCTGCTCATCTGCCAGGCATTCCCCGCGGTGGCACAGTGCACCCTGCACACGGACGACAACGCCACCATGCAGGTACCGCGTGCTGCCGAGGCCGAGGTCTGACCAGCCACGCGCTGGCCTGTGTGTCTCACGTCTGTATTTACCGGAGGCCAGGGTCGGTCAGCT